GGTCTCCCTTCCTGTCTTTTTAAGGAAATAAATACAGAACTTTAAAGTTGAAAAAAAAAAGGACAGAAAGACAAGAAAAAAGAGGAAAACCAAGGCCGAGGGAGCCGTGGAGCCGAGGAGGGAAGGGGAGAGAGGAGGAGAGAGGAAGCAGGGGGAGGGAGGGAGGGAGCTAGGAGCCAGAATGGGGGGGTGCCTTGGCAGAGTTAACTCCTTCCGTGCCGGCAGGAACCCGGATAATGGGAAAGGAGAGAGAAGCAGAGGCAGAGAGGCCCTGAGGCAAACATGGAGACCTGGCCAGCTCCCAGCAGTGACAGCACAGACAATGAGGACAGATTCTGTTTCTTGAAGGAGGAGGCACCCATAGTTGGACTGGGAGCAGCCTAGTTATTTAAGTGCTGGAGGAAGGCCATGGTAGGGGGTAGGGGGTGCAGGAGGGGCTGGTAGGATAGGATCCCTGGGGGCCTGGTTCTCCCTAGGGAGCCACTGGAGGGAACCTGAAAAGTAATTATGTTCTAGTCTCGTTGGTGCCTGAAATTGGGACAGGTGGAAGAAAAGGGACAAGAGGGAGAAGGGGCTACAGGACTGGAGAGAGTGCACCTTCGTGTCCCCAGCCTCAGCTGGGCTTCTGTCAACAGGGCCCCAACATCAGCAAGAGTTTGTTCACCCTCCAGCCCTGCCTGCTCCTCAGGAAGTCAGGCCCCCCACCCCTCCTCCTTACCTGACTCTCTGAGATGGAAGCCTCATAGCAGTCCAGGATGTCTGTCACAGCAACAGAACTGAGTCACCCTCCCCCAGCCCAGGCCTCTCAGCCACCCCTGCCATCCCCTGCAGGATGTCTGGAAAGGGAGGAGCTGCTCCAACCCAGGCCTGTGGGTGCTGAGGGAGGACATCCATCTTGGCGATGACCCCGCATGGGGCTCTAACTGGGACCAAGTCTCTCTGGGCTCCCAACCAGCCCTGAAGCTCAGGAGTTGCCCTCACAGAACCATGCCAGCCCTTCCCACCACTGCCCTTAGAAAACTGGGGCTACTCACCCAGCAAAGCCTGGAAGAGGTCACTGTGCAGCACTGTGAGCAGGGGGGGTGCCCACCGCAAAAGTGGGGGGGCCAGGAGCCAGAGGGCTGACCTAGGAGCTGGTGAGATGCAGGGAAAGGATCGGGACAAGGAGGAAACACAGAGACTATCACGTTCAGTCACCTCATCTTCTCCAGCTGTTGCCCTTTCACCCCAGACCCTACAGAAAGATTCAGAGAGAAGGGTCTTCCAGTAGTCCCAGCCACCCACTTCCTTCCTAGGCCTCCCCTCTGTAGGACCCCTGTTTTTTCACCTCTTGGTCTCTGGGACATCTCTATCTTCTCTCGCTTTAATCTCCCTAATCCGCCAGGATTGTGTTGAGCTGCCTTCTCTCCACCCAGTTCTAGCTGTTAAGGCAGGCAGTGTCTGAACCAACCGGCTCTCCCACCACTGCCACCTTGCCTGCACACCCTGGCCCTCTCTGGAAGCCATACCTAATTTAGCCACAGTTTCTCAGGAAGAGGGTCTCCCCGAAAGGAACTTGGTCCTCTCAAAAAGAGAGCAAGCTGAGCCCAGCTCTCCTCCTGGCCCTAACCTAGTGGGAATTGGAAAAGAGGTAGGAATTGCTGGGGACTTCTGGATCCAGGGCTAAGGAACTGGGGGAGGAGGAGCAATGGCGGGGGCAGGAGGGGATGAGAATTTCTGTAGTGCCTGTCAAGCCTGGGAAGAACCCCTCTGCCCAGAGGTGTAACTTGGATACATGGTCTCTGGAAGGAAGGGGGTGGGGGAGATACTGATTCACAAAGGTCTCAGAGGCCTTAAGACGGAGATACACGGGTTCCTCCTGTTAAACTGTAGGTGTTTGAGAGTTGATCACATCCTCTAGGCCTCGGGAGAACATGCTTGGGATACCAACGGGAGTTCTCCCACCCTGCTTTTCCCCTTTTGTGTTGGTGGATACGAATTTCACGAGGAACCCCAAAGAATCTTTCCATGCCTCCTCTCTGGGACTTCTCTCCACTACCCCTTTTACTCCACCTGGGAAGTCCCTCCTTCAGTCTCCCTTCATCCCTACGGCTGCAGTCGCCTACGTTCCTCCTGCTTCTATCCCCTTCTATTCCATCACGCCTTCTGAAGCTTAGACCCAAGTCCGGGCAGGCAGGATGGAGTTTGGGGGAGACAAGGGACGCTTGGAGATCACGCTAGGTCTGCAGAACGCAAGGCCGGGGGCGCTCGAGAACTACAGCTCCCAGCACGCCCTGGCTACGGAAGCCCCGCCCACCCCGCGCGGTGCGTCGTGGAGGACGAGTCAGAGCGGAGGGTCCCCAGACTCAGGCAGGCGGGACTGGAGAGCTAGGTCAGCGCACCAGGCAGCGGCGGGCGGGGGGGCTCCGAGATGCAGGCGACGCGGATGGCCCCGAGCGTGGGGCGGCAGCTGCTGAGGTTGAGAGGTGGAAGGTCTGTCTATGAGAGTCAGGAGGGGGGAGCAGCACGCTCAGGGACAGGGCTGGGACTGAACCCCCTAACTCCTCACAGCTCGCGGCCCAGCGCGCTCCTGGGACAGCCATGGCTTGGCCCTGCCTGCCGACCTTATGCTAGTGGAGCCGCTCAGGTAAGTGACAGCGGCCTTGAAAGGGGGCCAGGGGGTCCGCCTAGGTTCCCAACTCCCCACCGCCGGCAGGGGTCTCCCTCTTTGTCCATGTCACCTGCCAACCGCCCTGGCGCTGAAAGTAGGGGAAAGGGCAAGTCAGGGTGCCCTGTGTGAAATCAGGGTAATGGTAACCAGTCCGGTCCAACCCCACCCCCGGCTCTGCCCCTGTGCTCTCCTTGACACACCGGAAGCTCCTTCTCTGGACTGGCTAACCGTCTCTTTCTCCAGGCGGTTCTGGAAAAGTCAGATCCCCTCTCCTCCGATGCGTCCACCAAGGCAAAACAGACCAAGGCGGTATGTGGCCGGAGGCCGGGTGAAGCTAGGCTGGGAGCAGACCCGCCCCAGCCAGCTCCCTGAAACCCCCTTTTCCCTGCCTAGGAATCAAAGTCCTTTGCTGCGGGGATGTTCAAAGGCCAGCTCACCACCGACCAAGTGTTCCCGTACCCGTCGGGTAAAGGAAGGGGCAGTCAAGAGGTGGGCGGGGACCAGGTGATTTTCCCGACAGCCCTGCCTGACCGGCCTGTTCCCACCCCACCCCCTCCGCAGTGCTTAACGAGGAGCAGACGCAGTTTCTCAAAGAGCTGGTGGGGCCGGTATCCCGTTTCTTTGAGGTGAAGAATGACAGCCTTGGTCCCCGGTGGGGTGGTCAGAGTTGTGAACTACCTTAAAAGGAGCCTGAATGTGGGACCCTGTGCCTGCTCCAGGAGGTGAATGATCCAGCCAAGAATGACACTCTGGAGGCCGTGGAGGAAACCACTTTGCAGGGCCTCAAGGAGCTGGGAGCCTTTGGTCTGCAGGTGCCCAGTGAGCTGGGCGGTGTGGGCCTCTGCAACACCCAGGTGAGGAGAGCCCCTCATCCTTCCCCATATGCCAGTCTACTCGAGTTTGGCAGTTTTAGCCTCTTCCTCTCCACTGGGCTCAGGGCTTTTCCAGGCATCTGCCCTGGGGGGTGATGGGAAGTTGACTCCCTCTACTGCGTACACCCCCCCCACACACACCCTGAAACATCAGTCTACATGCAGCTCCTTACCAGGCCTCACCCTGGCTCCCATGTCATTGTGAACCTCTTGTTAGGGACTGCCTGACAATAGGGAAATAGGAAGTCTCACTTCTGCCAAGACCTAGGACAGGCATGGGCATTCCCTGCTGTGCCCTTTTCACAGTTAGCCCCACTTCCTGTCTCCATATTCACTGTGGAAGTGGCCCAGGTCAGCCCCTGCCGTTAGCCACTCACCTAAGGACAGGTCCCCTTCAAGCCAGTTACTACCTCAGGTGCCTGTCTCTCCTTCCAGTACGCCCGGTTGGTGGAAATCGTGGGCATGTACGACCTTGCTGTGGGCATCACCCTGGGGGCTCATCAGAGCATTGGTTTCAAAGGCATCCTGCTCTTTGGCACAAAGGCCCAGAAAGAAAAATACCTCCCCAAACTGGCATCTGGTAAGGCAGCCCTAGGACACCCAGGGATTGGGGATGACCTGGCACCAATTAGGCCATTTAGTACTTAGGTCACTGGGCATGGAGGGGTGGGGAGGCATATTCTGGGAGGCGTCAGTGTGCCAGAGAAACATAAGAAACTGGTTATCACAGGCGTTGAGGAACAGGAGAGGGCTGAGGGGACTTGGATAACGGGTTTATCAGAGATGGTAAAGGAGTTCTCTCCAACAGGGGAGACACTGGCTTCTTTCTGCCTAACTGAGCCTGCAAGTGGGTCAGACGCAGCCTCTATCCGAACCTCAGCTGTGCCCAGCCCCTGTGGAAAATATTATACCCTCAATGGAAGCAAGATTTGGATCAGGTACTCTTCCATTTCTACCCTCCTCTTACCCTCTGCCCAACTCCAGGACTCACTACATTTTTATTTTTTTTGGAGAGGTTTTTGCTATAGGGCACATGCGCTCACCAGAAAGAGAGAAACAGAAAGCAAGAAATCACACCCCCCCGGGGGGGGGTATGGCCACATCGCAATCTCTTCTCCTCCATTCTCCTCTTAAGATCTTGGGCACGCACGCACACGCGCCTGGCCCGTGGCATGAGTTTAAGTCACCGGGTCTGGGACTCAAACTGCAGTTGACTACGGGTCCCCCACACCCTAACTGCCTGCCCCTCATTCTCCCACAGTAACGGGGGCCTGGCAGAGATCTTCACAGTCTTTGCCAAGACACCAGTTACAGATGCAGCCACAGGAACAGTGAAGGAGAAGATCACTGCTTTCGTGGTGGAGAGGAGCTTCGGGGGTGTTACCCAGTGAGTGGGCAGGGGAGGGCAGGGCTGTGCCCTAGGTCGGATCACCCTGTGGATGTGTGCAAAAGCCACAGCTGATGGACAGCATGCTCACTCTGAGGCCATGTGTAGTCCTGAAGTTTTGGCTCTAGCCCCAAGCCCAAGCCCTGGAAGCAGAACACTGCCAGGCTTCCCAAGCCCTCAGGGCATGCGGAGAATGTTGCCTGTAGCCCTGGGGAGTTGGCCTTCCTCCCTGGTCCACAAAAAAGGGCAGGTTTCTCCCCAGTAGCATGAACACACTTCTGCTTCCCCACCCTGCCCTGTCACAGTGGGCCCCCTGAGAAGAAGATGGGCATCAAGGCCTCGAACACAGCAGAGGTGTATTTCGATGGAGTACGAGTACCTTCAGAGAACGTGCTGGGCGAGGTGGGGGGCGGCTTCAAGGTCGCCATGCACATCCTCAACAATGGAAGGTTTGGCATGGCTGCAGCCCTTGCAGGCACCATGCGGGGCATCATTGCCAAAGCTGTGAGTACCCTGCCCTGAGTCCTGAGCCAGCCTATGGAGTCACAGTGCCTCCCTTCCCACATGTCCGTTCCCTCACCCGGGCTTCTTGCACCAGAAACCCCTCCCACACAGCAGCTCCAGACCTGCTAGCCAGCTTAGGTGTGCATCTAGGTGAACCAAAGCCCACCCCCAACTCCCTCCTGGGGAGACTGTTTAACCACAGTGGGACAACGTGCCCTCTTCCAGGTTGATCATGCTGCTAATCGTACTCAGTTTGGAGAGAAAATTCACAACTTTGGACTGATCCAGGAGAAGCTGGCGAGGATGACTATGCTGCAGTACGTAACTGAGGTGAGCGCCTCCCACTCCACTCCCACACCTGGGGCCCTGTGGCTTTCTTCCCAGTCGGGTCAGACTACAACTCCCAGCAGCACCTGGGGCAGTGGGTCTCCAGCTTTACACCAATGCCCTAGGGGATGCGGGGAGGCATAGTCAGCTCAGCTTGGGCAGAAGGCAGATGGGGAGAGTGCTGCTGTTCCGCTGAGTGCTTCCCAGAGGTACCGGAAGTCAGTTCTAGCCCACCTCCACACCTTTCAAGAAGCCAAGTGCATGGAGGCCCCAGATGAACTGACTCAGAACCACACGCTTAAGATGTGCCTTGAACGCCAGGGCCAGGGCCAGGGCCAGGGCCAGGACGCTAGTCAGACCTGCTTGTAGAGATCTGGATCACTGGCTCGGGTCTGATGAAGCTCTCTTGACTTCCCTTCTGACATCCCACCTGGGCAACCTCAGTCCATGGCTTACATGGTGAGTGCCAACATGGACCAGGGAGCCACGGACTTCCAGATAGAGGCCGCCATCAGCAAAATCTTTGGTTCGGTGAGTCCTGGGCACGCTGGGAGAGAGTTCAGTTTGGGAGCATGGTTCCAAAACCAATCTCATCTGGTCCTTTGTCCCTAGGAGGCAGCATGGAAGGTGACAGATGAGTGCATCCAAATCATGGGGGGCATGGGCTTCATGAAGGTATGGATGGTCCCCCACGGGGCAGCCTCTGTAGCTGGCACCTCAGCAGGGGGCTCACAATCTGTCCTCCCTATGGCAGGCACCAGGGGGAGAGCGTGTGCTCCGTGACATTCGCATCTTCCGGATCTTTGAGGGGACCAATGACATTCTCCGGTTGTTTGTGGCTCTGCAAGGCTGTATGGTAAGAGGGAGGAGAATGGGGGGTGAGCATGGGCAGGGTGGAGGGGGGGAAAGGTGATCCTAACTTTTGGGCCTTCCCCACAGAACAAAGGAAAGGAACTCTCTGGGCTTGGCAACGCTCTAAAGAATCCTTTTGGGAATGCTGGCCTCCTGCTAGGAGAGGCAGGCAAACAGCTGAGGCGGTAAGCTTAGGGGTCAGGACCCAGGACCCCGGAGAGCAGGGGTGGGGTGGGGGTGGCAACTAACCAGGTCACGCTCCCTCTTCCTCTAGGCGGGCAGGGCTGGGCAGCGGCCTCAGTCTCAGTGGAGTCATCCACCAGGAGTTGAGTCGGAGCGGTGAGCTGGTACGCAATCACAGGCTGGGGGCGGCCTGCACCGGGGCTGACGGTCGGCCTCCTGGCCTCTCGGCCTCTGAGCCCTGCCTGCCTTCCCACTCTCCAGGCAGTGCAGGCTCTGGAGCAGTTTGCCACTGTGGTGGAGGCCAAACTGATCAAACACAAGAAAGGGATTGTCAGTGAGTGAGCTCTGCCCCATCCCCCGCCCCCTCTCCTCTCCGGCAGACTAACGCCCCTACCCACCCCACTCACCCCATCTCCTCACCTGGCAGATGAGCAGTTTCTGCTGCAGCGCCTGGCAGACGGAGCCATTGACCTCTACGCCATGGTGGTGGTTCTCTCCAGGTGAGGAGGCAGCGGGGAGGCCTGAGTCGGAGGGGGCCTGGCCAGGGTCATGGCCCAGATTTAACTTCTGCTTCCTGCCAGGGCCTCAAGATCCCTGAGTGAGGGCCACCCCACGGCCCAGTTTGAGAAAATGCTCTGTGACAGCTGGTGTATCGAGGTGAGACTCAGAACTACCAAGTGCCAGTGCGGGGCTAGAGGCACAGGCCCGACCCCTTCTCTCCTCTCCCCACAGGCTGCAGCCCGCATCCGAGAGAACATGACCGCTCTGCAGTCAGACCCACATCAGCAGGAGCTCTTCCGGAACTTCAAAAGTATCTCCCAGGCCTTGGTGGAGCGGGGTGGCGTGGTCACCAACAACCCTCTTGGCTTCTGAAGACTCCCAACTAGGGCCTGGTCCTGTGATGTGCCTTCTCTCCAGCCAAAGCCACAGCCACTTTCCTGGGGTCTCTGGTGTGCCCTGAAGGGGACCTGATATTCCCAGAACCGTGCCTGCTCTAAGGAGCACTGACTGCCTCACAATGAATAAAATTCTAACAAGTCGCACTTTGCTACTGCATCTCAGCTCTTCCCCTCGGCTGCCTGCCTCCCTCCCAAAGAAAGGAGCCAGAGGCTGGGGAGTTTGCCTCTATTGCTTTATTTGGTGTTTTATACAAGTGACTAAAATAAATAGAGTAACAAAGGCAGCTACATGGCCCCCAAGTACCCCAGCTTCCTTGGACTGTGGTCTAGGGTGCCCAGGCCCTTTCCTCCTCCCAGGGTACCTCTGACCACCCCGACCCGCCGAGGGCAGAGCTGACTGGGCAACTGGCGGAGGGGTCACATTCTGGGGTAAGAGGAAGGAGCCCAGGAGCTGGGGATTCTTCATATAAAAGAGGAAACATCTATTAAAAAAATAGTCCCAAAAATGTAAGAAAATCTATTTTAACCCCCACAAAGGTTTATAAAAAAAGAAAGGATAAAGCTAAAAATAACCAAAGGTCCCCTGTCTGCCCACGAGGGAAGGGGGAGGACCCAGGCACTGCTGGTGAGCGTCACAGTGGCAGCCACCTCACTGCAGGCAGGCAGCAGCCCTGGCACCAAGTACAGCCCTAACCAGACACAGTCGGAACAGGAGTGCCTAGCCGAGGCTGGACAGGCCCAGACCTCGCAGCCCACAGTGGGCGCGCTCTACCTAACATCTTTTTTTAAGAACTCACTGGGGTGGCCCATGGCCATGTGGAAGCTTTGGCGGCTGGCCGTCAGTTCTGGGGGCACAGAGCCCAGGTCTCTGACTGGAGGGGCGCCCGGGGGCTGTACCGCTGGAGGGACAGGGGGTGGGGGCGGGGGCATCATGACCACCATCATTGGGTTATAGGGGAGGGCCATGCCAGGGGGTGGCCCGTACGGATGGAGCCCTGGGTGGGCTCGGAGATTTGGAGCACCCCCCGTTGAGCCCCTGGACGGGGGAGGGCCTCCATCGCCAGTCCCGCCAGGCTCCCCACCCCGTCGAACGCTGCCCCCACGGCTGGAGGGCTCCGACTCACTGCCACTGCCAGACTTGGACTCGGGGGCCCGCTCCTCAGGCCTCCCTGGGCGCCCGGCGCCCCCATCACTGCGTGTCGACCCACTGCTCCGGCTCCCTGTGGGTGGGAAGGTGGGTTGGTGCAAGCAAGTCCTAGCTCGGGTGCTTCAGCTTCCCAGCCTGCGCTCCGACCTCGGGGGCCTCGGGGGCGGATGTGGGGACTTACCCTCACTGTGCTGGCTGCTCGCGCTGCCCCCACCATAGGTGTAGGATGAAAGCTCGTGGTAGGGCGGAGGCTGTGGGCTGTAGGGGTGTGGGGCTGGGTACTGGTAGGAGAAAGTGGGTAGCAGCGGCCAGGGAGTGGCCCCAGGCAGAGGAGCCAAGGTGTCCTGGTCCGAAGCCCCGCTGGAGCCATCGTTGTCATTCAGAGACAGGTTGACCAGGTCTGAAAGCAAGGGACAAGCCTGAGTCTCTGCTCCAAGGGGCCAGAAGCTCAGGAACCATCTTCCCAGAACCACCCAGGGGTGTTCAAACAATTCCCTATCAACCTCTGATAACGGAATCCTCACCTACTATTGCCATTGAGAAAGGGGTGCAGCCAGGGCCACCACGCCCAGGAAAGGGTTCCAGAAGAGGTGCACCAGCACCCCAACTCCCCAGCCAGCACCAGCACCCAGTGTGGGACACGGCCTGCTCAGGCCTTCACAGCACCCTGGCTCTGGTCAGGGCTGCAGAGGTGGGACCAGGCTCTCCCAGGGCTGGGCAGGGGGACTCACAGCTCTCACAGCCCCCACTGAGGTCTCCGAAGACATAATAGCACTGCTCAGAGAAGGTGATCTTGTTCACGGTGTGCCGGATCAGGCCCGCCTTGAGCAGCCCGCTGGCGTACTTGCGGGCCTCCCGCCGCTCAGGAAAGCCCTCCACGTGATGGTAGAGCCAGTCAACCACGTCGGAACCTGGGAACCCCCACACCAGAAAGGCATGAGGTTCTGCAGCCCATCGCTCACCCCACCTGTGCATTCCCCGCCTTGGCCTCTTCCCTCTCGCCTTCCACACCAAGTCAGGGCCCAGGCGTACCCAGAAAAGCATTAGGGATGGTGATCTTGAGCCACATGCGGTCCCGGACTTCCAGCCCAGACTCTGGAGCTGCCATGGCCTTGGTCACAGATGCCATATCCGTGTGGATGGAGAGACCCCGGCCCTCACAGCCTAGTAGAGGAGACAGCGGGGAACCAGGGGCCAGTCGCTCCCACAGGGACAGTGAGTCAGACCACCACCAGACAGCCTTCGGGGTAGAGGGGCGAGGTGGGCTGGGGCTCACCATCGGGCAGCGAGGACCCAGACGTGATGGTGCTCATGGACGAGGAGCCTGGATATGCTGGGAAGGTGCCGGTCAGTGCGGCGGAGTGCGACACCCAGGCAGCAGGGTCAATTGGCTGGATGGGCTCATCTGGGACAAAGAACGGCACCAAGACCATCCCTCGGCCATCTCAATAAGCCAGCCACGTCCTTCCACCCCTGCTTGGACCCTCCTCCGCCACTCCCCACAGCCCAGAGGCCCAGCCCAGCCCTAGCCCCCCTCCCCAAGCATCACTCACTGCGGGGGAGGGTGAAATAGGCCTGGGGAGAGGGGTCCCAACACTTGGCCACAGTCAGCACGATGGGGCTGTGGACGAGATAAGGCCAGTCAAGGGGGATGGGGGAAGAGCTGTGGGAGGGCACGGGCCTGGAATGAGAACAGGTGAAGGGACACAGAGAGAGAAGTAAAGGGCACAGACACGGCTGGGCCACAGCAGGTGAGAGTGGACGGCTCCCTGGTATGGGTGACACGCCAGTGTGGACAACCCTTACACACACATTACTGAGGAAGCAAGAGCACACGCTCTGCTACTCCCTGCACGGAAGTTTGAAATGCAAAACCACGTGGTTCAAGCATATGTGCAGGGGCAGCGAGACCATCCTGTGACAAAAAGACCTTGTTTTTTCTTAAGAGGTTTTGGCCCTAGGACGTATGTACTTGCCGGAGAGACAGACAGAGACAGAGATAGTGAGAGGGAAAATGAGAAATCACCCTCTAGGGGGAAGGCCACACCGCAATCTCTTCTCCATTCTCCTCCTGGGATCTTGGGCACACACACACCAATGCCCGGTGTGATTTTCAAGCCACCGGGTCCAGGACTCGAACCAGTCAGCCAAGTGGGAGTCTAGCAACATAACCACTACACTCTCTGCAGCCCCCCATGCAAAGATTGTCTTCTTTGACAACTGGGAGTGTGGGGAACTTTCTGGTGTACGAGAGGGTTCCATTTCATCACCTAGATGGTGGTGACATGGGTTTGTACTTCAGAACCATTTTACATTTCACATTTTTGTTTCATACTTCAGCTATTGTGGCCTTTTAAAATATATATATTTAATTCCATTTGTTATTACCATTTTTAAATTTTGACCAGGGAGAGAGAAAAAGGGAAAAGAGAGAAAGTGAGAAAGCAAGCCTCCAAGTCCGGGACTCGAACCGTGGTTGACCATGTGGGAATCCAGCGCTCTTAACCACCATGCCACCTGCCAGCCCCACCCATCTTTTTTTTAAATTAGGGCTCTTATCATAGGGTGCGTGCACTCACCAGAGAGAGACGAGATACAAAGAAAGAGAAAGTGAGAAATAACTACCCAGCAAGGATGTCCATGCCGCAATCCCTTTTCCTCCATTCTCCTTTCAGGATTTTGGGCACACATGCGTATGTGCCTTGCATGATTTTCAAACTACCAGGTTTGGGACTTGAACTACTATTGGCCATTTAAGAGTCCAGCGCCTTAGCCACTAGGCTACCAGCTGGTCCCTCTGTCGCACTACTTTTTAAAAATGGCAAAGCAGAAGGAAAAAAAAAAAAAAAAAAGGCAAAGCAGGGGCCAGCAGGTGCCATGGTGGTTAAGGCACTGAACTCCCACATGGCCAACCAGGTTTCAAATCCTAGACCTGGCAGCTTGCTTCCTCCCTCTCCATCCTTTTCCCTCTCTCTTCCTCTCTCTCTCTCTCTCTGGTCAAATTGAATAATAAAAATAAATAAAATTAAATAAATAATTCTTTTAAGAAA